TTACGACCGTTTCATTACAAACTGCGCTCCGCCTAAGTATCGTGGTTCTCTTTACAAATGTTGCATGTAACTTTTCCAAAGAATAGTACGAACTGGCATGTAGACCCTAACCTGTTTGACACCGTGTTCCTCTGAATCCCAATACACAGCTGCACGTGAAGCCATTCACTCGGTCGGTGCAAGTTCCACCGTTCAGACAAGGGCTACTAGCGCACTCATCGATGTCTGATTCGAAATGAAAATAATAAGAAAAGTAAGAGAGTAATAATAACATTTTTTTTTAAAAGAAAAAACATGTCCGATTAGTCAGGGATCCTGGTGTTTCCTTGACAACTGGTTACTCACAAACATGCTTTTCTGGACTTTCTCGCAATAACTATTGCAACCTTTTTCGGTGGTTTTGTAACGTCTTATTTACAGTCCCATGTTGGATCCTCCATGTACTGTTTCCATATTTAACATAATGACTGAACAGGTGGCTAAACAAACACTATAACACAAACTGCAAATTTTGGTTGTCAGAAGTTGTTGCACGATAATAAAGGACATGGCAAACGCTTGTCCCCTGAATACGGGGCTAAACATGTAGTTGGAAAACATATTACGGTATCTAGGAAAGGTCTACTTTGTGGACGTGGGCAAAAATTTATCTATCGGCCTTAAAAGCCGGTTGCTGGCTCAGAAGTGTCGACTATATTGCCGCAGACTTCATGACTCAATAGAACGGTACGTCTATCTACCTTTGCATGTTTTTCCGTCTCCAGTGTATACAGCTCTGCACGAGCAAAGATAAGAACCAAGAGTGTTCTGGCAGTTGGCATTGACATCACAGACTCCAGCTGAAGCACTGCACTCGTCGATGTCTGACAAGAAAGAAAATTTGAAAACAACACATTCTACTTCTGGTACAACAGTTAAAATATTGTAAATTCGATTTCATTTAAAATTTTGCTAATGTAGTTGTTTTGTCAGAAAAAGAGGAGGCAGGTTGCTAGTTTAGTCGCTGGGTAGGTAGGTTGCTATACTGATAGCCAGTCACATGTATTTAAGTAAACGGGTTTGTAAGAGGGTCCATGAGTGGGATCCAGCTTTGCAGGAACAAAGATAGGAACCAAGAGTGTTCTGGCAGTCGGCATTGACATCACAGACTCCAGCTGAAGCACTACACTCGTTTATGTCTGACAACAAAGAAATAAGAAAACAACATAATAACTACTGGCAAGAGATCCAATCTGATTTGATTTCAAATGTTTTTAATGTAGTTGTTTTGTAGGAGAGTAGGTAGGTTATTAGGTTGGTCGCTGCAGCTGGGTGGGTATAGGTCGCTACAGGTGGGTGGGTAGTTGGCGCGGCCGGATGGGTAGGTCGCTGCAGCTGGATGGGTAGGTCGCTGCAGCTGGGTGGTTGGGTAGAAAGCTAGACAGGTTGAGAGCAAGGTTACCTAATCGTCCCAGAGCGGAACTCTTAAAAGATTCATGTAGCATGCGTTCAAAGCAAATCGAACAAGTTAAGTCTGTAGTAACAATACAGTTTGTTATCGGTTGGCCGTTTTATCCACGAAGTTCATTCATTGGCTTTCAGACACAACATATATCGGTAGCTAGGTTGGTAGAGAGCTGGGCTGGTTTTAAGCTGGTGACGTACTTTAGGAGACGTACTTCAGGTGTAGCTTATTTGGATTATGCAGACCCTACCTGTGCATGTTTTTCCATTTCCTGTGAATCCAGCTTTACAAGAGCAAAGATATGATCCACGAGTATTCTGACAGTTGGCATTAACATCACACACCCGAACGGAAGCATTACACTCATTGGCATCTGAAATATAGCAATAAAAACGACGATAAAATTGCATCGTAATTATGAGCAGACACTACAATTCACGAATTTCATTTTATTTTGTTAATTTATTTACTATTTTTTTCCGTATATCTTGCCTCACCTGGCCTTGCTCACTTAATAAAAGATAGAAGCATTTAAGGAACCAAAGGATATGTAATATAATATAACTGTATAACTATGCCCAGGCTTAGGAGAACTGGTGGAGGCGCAGTGGCCTCTTGGTTAGTGCGCTTGTCTCCGGATCGAGTAGTCAAGGTTTGAGCCCTTGCTTGGGTCATTGTGTTGTGTTCTTAAACAAGAAACTTTACTCTCACAGTGCATCTCTCCACCCAAGTGTACAAATGAGTACCAGCGAATTTAATGCTGGGGGTAACCCTGTGATGCATTAGCATCCCATACAGGGGGGTGTAGAAATACTCCTAATTTCTTCATGCTACAGAGACCGGGTTAGGCTCCGGCCTTACCGGCCACTTGGCTCGTATGCAAAATTTACGTTTAGGAGAACTAAGTTATTTTACCGCCGTTCTTGTAACCTCTATCGTCACTCACCTTAGGGACTGGACTTAAACAGATTGGCCACAGGCAAAAGAAATCAATTGTACATAATTATTCTTATTAGCATTACTTGACTCTTACTTACCCACAGTCGTCATGTCACAGTGAGCAAGTGCAATCTTCCCAATCCCAAAAAAATGCAGCCAGTACTTGCCGTCAACCGCGTATTCTCCTTCACTCGCCTTGATTTCTTGGCAAGATTCTGCGGGCATTTCCGGAATGGTACCGAGACGGACTGGGGAAAGACAACAAAATCGATGTCAACAAGAAATTCTTCTTGGAGTGTTTCAGAAGGTGAAAGCAAAAAACTAAAACAAAAAAACAAAACAAAACAAAACAAACAACACAAACACGCAAACAAACAAACAAACAGTGAAATAAAAGCCCTGGGAGTACTCCCCTTTATTGTGTATATAGGCATGTGCAGCCCTAACTGTTAGAGTTTTGGTCATAAGCTGTTACATTTTCAGCTCATAAATAGGGTAGGGAAAATTGCAGATTTTGGTCATAAATAGGGTGAGGGTTTTGGGAAGCGGACCGCACACCCCCACCCAATTTTTCTAGGAGTACTCCCCGGAATAAAAGATCAAACTCATTAAAACTTAGTGTGAAAATTCAGATTGGTATTGTGAAATGAAAGGATTGTTTTCGGCAAGGTAGTAACCACAAGCATAAGCCGATATNAGAAGTGTATCGTAACTACCCGCTAACACTGCAACTCACAAATTTCATTTTATTTTGTTTATTTATTTTCTATTTGTATTCGTATATCTTGCCTTGCCAGGCCTTGCACACTGAATAAAAGATAGAAGCATTTAAGGAACCGTTTCAAACCAAAAGATATGTAATGTAATATAATCGCACAATTATACTTAGGCTTAGGAGAACTAGGTTAGGTCTCTGCCATTTCGTAAGCTCAATCGATTGAACTGAAACAGATTGGCCACAAGCGAATCAAATCAATTATGCATTATCATTTTTAGTAGTATTACTTACCTCCAGTTTTCATGTCACAATGAGCAAGTACAATCTTCCCAATCTTGAGGAAATGCAGCCAGTACTTGCCGTCAACAGCGTATTCTCCTTCACTCGCCTTGATTTCTTGGCAAGATTCTGCAGGCATTTCAGGAATAGTACCGAGACGGACTAGGGAGGGGTAAAAATAGCAATGTCAGCGCGAAATTATTCTTAGGCTGCTTCAGTAGGTAAAAGCGAAAAAAACGAAAAAAGACAAAACAAGCAAACAACTGTCAGATAAGGGATCAAACTCATTACAATTTAGTGTGAAAATTCAGATTGGCTTCTTGAAATGAAAGCTGGTTTTCGGTAGGGTAGTAGCCACAAGCATAAGCCGACAGTCCCAGATGCAGTGCAATGTTTATAAGCGCCATTTGTTTGGACAATTTCCTAACGTCATTGCAGTTACACTTGTAATCCGAAGTGGATTAGCAATATTAATATTAGCCCATAGCTAAGCAATAGTGTGATAGGTAAATGACGGTGATTGATGAGGTTAATGATTCGCTCGCATTAAATTACCTCTATCCTTGTCTCGTTTGAAGTAATATCTGTCAGGGTTGGGAACAAAGTCTTCAGGCCTGGCTTCCTTGGTGCGGTTG